CTCTTTCATCTCTTTCTTCTTGACATTTTCTCTGTGTCTCCTCCTTATTCTTTTTCTTTTTCTTTTTTTCTTGATCTTGTTAAGCATGTCTTCAATACTAAGCTCACAAGGAGTGGTCCTGGCCACTGCCATGGCGGTCTCTGGCACCGTGATTCTCCTCGCTTTCCGCCTCCAGAAATCTTCACCAAACACCCAATTTCCCGTTACTCGAATCCCTCGCACCCAAATTCTACGATCATGTATTTCTTCTGGTATGTAATTTTGTAAAGAAAATCATGGTCTTTATAAGCTAAAACGATTCTTGGCTTTTTGCCCAAAAATCTTGGTCTTTTTACATAATATTGGGCATATGGGATTTTTACAGAAGCAGAAATATTTCATGTCCTTACTACTATAAATATCTTGGTCTTTTAAAGCTAAAAATGATTTTTGGCTTTTTGCATAGAATATCTTGGTCTTTTCAGATAATGGGCAAATGGGATTTTTTTTTTCAGTGACAAAAACATGTTTATATTTTTGAGATAGAAATCCTTGTCTTAAGTTTGAGCAATTAAGAGAAACATGCATGTATTAGGCTTTTATGTAGAAACCCTTGTTCTTTTATGCGATTTTCACCATTTTCTTTTCTTTTTTTTTTTTATATTTTATTAGAAGGGAGCAAGAAGGACAAGAAGAAGAACAAGCAGAAAAGGGTCCACTTTGCGGAGGACGCGGTGGATCCAAGTGGGGATGGTAAGGAGTTTAGGAGACAGCGCAGTGAGATTAGCAATTCTCTAAACTCAAAATCATCTTCTTCTTCTTCAGTTTCAGATTCATCTCTGAAATTGAAGAAGATGAGTAACAAAGGAATGCCTGCGAACAGAGTGGCTCTCTACAATGGAATTCTCAGAGACCGTGTTGTTCACCGTTTGGCTTACTCTTGCTGATCATGACTGTTTCTAGAAAGCTTCTCTGGTATGATCGGACAAAATAAATTAAGGATAATTTTCTATTTTTAACCGTTAAATTTATAAAAAAAAAATTATATATTTTTTATTTTTTTTATTTAATATAATTTTAATTTAATTTAACGGTTAAATACAGATATTATCAATAAATAAACCAACCAGAGAAATTCTTTGTTTTTAGTGTAAATCTTCTTTTCCTTCCTGTACGTACTTTTTTTTTTAGTCTGTATTTTTCTTTTTTAGAAAAGTGAGAAGGAATATTCGGAACCACGGGGAATGATTGGGCCCCACGGTTTTGGTAGTTCCTGCGGTTATTGTATAGATAACTTCTTGTTGATAGTACTAAAAAAAAAAAAAAAAAAAGTTCTTGTTGATACTTCAATCTTTCTCTTCATGATTTTTTTTTTTTTTTGGGGGCCAAATGACGCTTTTAAGATCATTTTGTTTTTTTTTTTTTTCTTCCTATTTTTTGGGGAAATTTATAGAGAAAATTCTGGCAGAAAAAAAAAAAAAAAAAGTCTTACAAGTATTATACGGTTCTAAAGTGTCTGACTCTCCGTAATTGTCTAAAGACACATTTTTTTTGGTTCTAATTGAACGGTGATGTAATTTATAAGGTTATATATTGGAAAGGTTTTTTTTTTTTTTTTTTCCGTGCCTCATAATCCTCTGACTTATATGCTTTTTCTTATAAAAAAAAATGAATAAAATAGCATAATTAGCTGAAGACATTATTTTGCTGAGTATTTTTTGGGTTCTGTTTCTTTGTTGCTTGGCTTATTTCCTTTTAATTTGATGAAAAAAAAAATACTTCTTCCCTGCACTGACAATGATAGAATCTGACTTGTTAGAAGAGTAACTAATCATGTAGCCGATTCCAGCGAAACAGAGCTACATCAAATTATTGATTTATAGGTCTTTTCAAATTTCAATCACCCCATGACTTAAACATGTCATCAGATTCACAACAGTATTTTGTTGAAATCTTTTTGCATTTTGTTGTACGAGACTCTCTCGAGTCTATGATGCGTTACTATATTGATAAATTAGATTTTTTTAACTAAATTTATATAAAATTATAAAAAAATTAAAAAATACGTAATTTTAATAATTAAATAAACTATGCATATAAAAAAAAAAGTCTCTTTTATTCCATTTCTTTTCTCATTTGCTTGCCTTTTCTCTACCTTCTTTTTTTCCAAAAGTTGGAAACTGTTGGAAAATTGGAAAGAG